CATTGTATCACCTCCTCCACAGGCCAACCCTTTCTTATCAGGTCATCTGGATTAAAAGCTGGCTCAGAGCCATTGTGAAAGATTTGTAAAGATGTTGTGATTGAAGAGGGGTATTTACAGGTGTCCCAGATGGGATTAGACCCACCATTAGATGTGCTTCCAAGACCCTCAGCAGCAGGTCAAATCCTCAATGCCGCTGTGAACCTCGCAGGTGCCCTCCTGGTCAGAGATTCGTGTTGTGGCTGCAGCCTCTGCAGGCAGGCGGATTTATATGGGTTGCCCCAGATCAGGACCAAGGGTCATCACTGGAGGGTTAAAAGCACAGATCATGCAACAGAATTGAGAAAAACAGGTAGAAATTCCATGGGAGGCTGGGTTAGACATCATGAGAGTGTTTGTCTGTGAGACAGATACCATTATGTGCCTGAATATGTTTCAAAACAATGAATTTTATTTAACTTCTTTCAGCCACTTGGTTAAGAAGAAAATCCTACCAGACACGTATAAGTGCAAACCCCATTTTGCTCCTGTGTCACAGCATTGTGATTTCCCTGAGACACAAAGCAGAATTAAAATCCACCCAACTGGAGGAAGAAGTGAGGCTGCTCCTGACCGCAGGTGCATTGGAGAAAATAGCTCCACAGATACAGGGCATATTGTTCATCACTTACGTTGCTTCAAATCAGTCTGGACAAAAAACACAACAGCGTTTAAAACCTACTTGATGGCTCAGGGAAGGGAAAGGGAAAAGGGTTGCAGGGAGCTGGGCAGAAATTTGAGAGAATACTGCCCTATTCTCTTGTATTTTATCTAAGTATTTGTGTGATGCAGGTCCTGAAGTCTCTGCTCACTTGCTAATGATGCACACTTCACATCAGTGGAAGCTCTATCACCCTTAACCCCATCAGATTGGCACCGCACTCAGGAAAAATGCTGGACTGGGCTAGCACAGAGACAGCAGAGTCTCTTTTCCTTAGAGTAATTGCTTTCCTTCACTCTTCTCCTCCTCCTTCCCTGGGTCAGGGCTGTGTGCATTAGGCTAGCTTTCATTGTGAGCATCAATGTGTTGTCTAGCTGCTGGGTAAATACATCAAGCGGCTCACGCCCAGCGTGCGGCTCACACCGCTCATTTCTGTCAAAGCTGCTTTTCAATTACGCTTTGGTCTGGGGGTAGAACAGATTTCCTGCAGTGTCGAAGCTGGGCAGCTTCTTTGCTGAATTGGGGCTTGATAAATATGTATTCAGTCTCATGCTTCAGAATCGTGAGCAACAGCCATATGAAATGCTATAGAAATGCAGCATTTTACTTACAGAAACTGTTTTAAAGCAGACGCCATCCAGAAGATAAATGCAGAAATGTACCCTTTTATCACTGTTTTTGCAAGATTTGTGTTTGCCCAATGCAGTGGTATCTGGGTGACCATAACAACCCACTACATTCATTTGCCCACAACTGATAGCACAAAAGAGATTCCTGCCATATATCGCTGTGTTGAGACAGTCAGCAATGACACACTGCCAAACAAATATTTGACAAAGGACAGTCAGGTTTTGCACTGCTCTCTGAGCAACATCAACTCTATCCCAGCTACTTTCTGCTCTCACTGTCCCCTTCCCAGCTGCTTTGTTTGAATGTTTAACTTCTCCTCCCGGTTCAGGTTGCCCTATTGCACAGACGTGACGGAGCAGGGCAGCATCTCAAAATGGTTCCAGGTGTCTCTAAAAAGTGCCAGGAGGGATTATTTCTGCACATACACAGGCAGTCAAGCTTGTACAGGGTCTCAGCGGCACACTGTGCTAGTGCCTGAGCACGGTCCTGGCTGGAGCAAGTCCACAGCTGGCCAGTTCGGATGGCCAGGGATGGCCAAGGTGCCATTCCCACATCTGAGTGTTTCACCAGTGCCTGGTGACATTACAAGGGTGGCACAAGGACCATGCTGTCCCCCTGCCTGGGTCCCAGCTCCTGCTAGGGCTGCTCCCCACCTCAGCTCCCTGCAGCTCACAGTACCTGGCTGGCAGCTCCTGGCCATCTGAATATTTCAGTTGGCAACTTGTACAATCAGGAAGTTTGGCCACACCTGCAGACATATTCATCTAAAACCCTGCTGAGGAAAATGAACCACTTTAAAGTCAATCCAGCCATACAGGATGAGATTAATTTAATTCAAACAGTTTTGAGTGCATTTACATCAGGCATTTATACTGGAGCAGCCAGCTTGATTTTAAGCAGGATTAGTTGACTGGAGGAGCGCAAAGCGTTTCCTTGTCTGAAGGGCCCTTGGTTTGATGCTGTTGCGGGGTGGATTAGAGCTGAGCAAAGCAGTGGAGGCTCCCGAGCAGAATGCTCTGTTCCTCACAGCGCAAGGAGCTTAGGGAATGGATGCCGCAGGCGGACGGGCTGGTGAGACACAATGAGCACAACCCATCAAGCAGCTCCAAGGAATCCTGTTTCTACACACTGCTTGATCACAATTTGCATGAAGCTGGGATTTATCTCGGTGATGGTGCTGGCTTAAGCAGCAAATTCCACTCAGACGAAATTAGAAAAAGAATTGTTAGAAGAAGAATCTCACCGATTCGTGCAGCAGGAGCGTCTCGGTGGTGCAGAGTGGCCGTGACATGTGCAGACATGCCCGTCAGCATCCCCAGCTCTGCAGCCCTGGAGCAGCAAGGCTGCTCTGGGTCTGCCCCAAAGCACTCAGGCAGCCTCTGAGCAGCGCGAGGATTTTCGCAGCTGGCCTCACATGCCAGCCCTCAGGTTATTCTCTGACCGGAGTTGCAGAAATCTGTAGCCTGTATCCAATGTGGGAGAGGCAATGCAACCCAGCCCTGCTAGCAACACGCCTCTTGGCCCCACATCAGATGGGTCCACAGGGCTGCCTGCAACTCCTGCGTTTAGAACCACCGCCCTGCTCCTGTCCACACCGGGGCTGGCTCCTGCCTCCCCAGCTGGCCTGCCCGCAACATATTTTCCCATGCAGCCATGGAAACATTTACTGACAAGTGTGGTAACAGCCTCACCCTATTTCTGATCCTTTGGGGGTCCTTCTGGTCAAATGACACAACTTTGGATTTTAGAAAAGCCTTGGACAGAAACTAAAATCTCTCCAGAGCTGCTTTCTCTTTTTTTGACAGGTCAAACACTGCTCTTACAGGAGGTCTCACCTCACCTGTTCCCACACACCCACATACCAGCTTGGGTCCCTTTTTAAAAACACTTAACAGCACTCTATTCCCGGTGTGAACAGGCAAAAGGCATGAGCTAGCTCTCCTGCCAGGCAGCGTGCAACTCCGGCTCGTACCTACCAGATGGCCACGTTTTCCTTTCTGGCCACGAGCGTTTACTGATGCTGAGCAATTTGGGGCAGGAGAGGAGCTCAGGCAGACGGGTGCGAGTGGAGCAGCGTCCCAGAGGGGCCCAGGTTATGCTGCTGCTCTGTGCCATGATCCCACTTATTTGGTCCTCGCTGTCTGAGAGCACTATTTTGGCTGTAATTTAACTCCAGACCTCCAGGATCACCACTTCTTGTGACTACCTTACTCCTCCCCATGTCCCCTCCAGAGATGCCTTTCCTCCCTCTCCTGCCCTGGAGACTGTGACCTTTTCTGTGCCCGGCTCTACTGAGTCTTGCTGGAGAGCAGACGCTGCTGCATAGGAAGTGGTATTGGTATTTTGTTAGACGGTACTTTTCTTTCTTCCTCTCAGTTGGTATTGAACTGTAGTGGCAATGAGCACTCTTGCTGAAGATGATGTCTCAGGTGAGATGTCTAACTCAGATCCCGACTGCTCAGCAGTCATTAAACATCTCAGGGAAGATGTTCCAGGAACAGGGATGTTAACCTTGTGGTCCTGAACCAATTCCAGCTCGTTTAATTACAGTCTTCATAGCTGAAATTTGCTCTGCACTTCTGACCGGTTATGGGATTTCTTTCCCCCATCTCCTCTAAGCTGTTGAGCAGCCTTGCTATGAGCTGTCGCATTCCCCACACAAGCTGAAGAAATAAGCAATTACTGCTGCTCCCTCTCCCAAGATGCTCAAATTCATTGTATTTTCTGGTTACTTAATAATTCGGGATTCTGCAAAGTATCACTGGCTCACCTATACAGGAAAGTTTTACCTGTCTAATCTGGGTAATCTAACCAGAAGAGTACAGTAGTATACATGATCCATATACGTGCTGTTGTTGCAAAGATCATGACTTTTATCATTCATATTAGTAACTTACATAAAAAAATATTAAAAGCGATTTGAAGAAATGTAATACAAGCTAATTAACCTACGCGCACTCCCTTATAATGAAAAACTATATGTGTATAAAGCTATATGAGTATATACATACATATGTGTGTATATATATGTACATATATACATACACTCTATGAAAGTATTTTAAGGTGTTTTAAACTCACACCTTGTGTATCTGGGATGGATTTCCCGCTTCAGCACGCCTTTGCGAATAGTCCAGGGATATTAAACCCTCGCCTATCAGCTCTTGGTGTAACACCACCCCAAAGGCCGCCCGACCCGGCCCCAGCCGCCTCCAACACCCGGTGGCTCGGTACCCGAAGGGCGGGCGCTGTCCCGGGGGCCCGGCTGTGGGGTGGATGTGCCCCCGCCTCGCCGAAATCCCCGAGCGGGGACGGTTTTGGGGTGGGGGGGGCACCTCTCCGGCGGAGGGAAAGCGGGGAGTTTCTGAGGCGATTCAACTCACGGCGCCGGCAGAAGGCGGTTTTTCCGCCGGGTTCGGGGGCGAGGCGGCAGGAATCGCACCCCCCCCCCCCCGCCCCCGGCCCTCAGAGCCGCGCGCTCCCTCAGCACCTGCAGGCGGCGCCGCGCGCCCGCCCAGCCCGGCGCTGCCAGCCCCCGCCCCGCGCCATAAATCGCGGCGGGGCGGCCGGGCGCGGCGGTGCTGCCGGGGAGGCGAGGGGAAAGCGGCGGTGGCGGTGGAGGCGGCGGCGGGTTCGGCTCCCCGCTCCGCCCCGCTCCCCGCCCCGCCGGCTCCGCCCCGGAGGCCGGCACGCTGGCTCGCTCCCTGCCTGGGAACATGGCCGAAGTCGGGGAGGACAGCAGCGGGGCGCGGGCTCTGCTGGCGCTGCGCTCGGCGCCCTGCAGCCCCGCCGCGGCGCCCCCTCCCGGGCCGCCGCCCCCGGCCGCGCCGCCCGCCGCCGCCTCCGCCGGCCCGGTGCTGGCGCGGCTGCAGGGCCGTGAGTTCGAGTTCCTCATGCGGCAGCCGGCCGTCACCATAGGCCGCAACTCCTCGCAGGGCTCGGTGGACGTCAACATGGGGCACTCCAGCTTCATCTCCCGGCGGCACCTGCAGCTCAGCTTCCAGGAGCCGCACTTCTACCTGCGCTGCCTCGGCAAGAACGGCGTCTTCGTGGACGGCGCCTTCCAGCGCCGCGGCGGCCCGGCCCTGCAGCTCCCGCCGCAGTGAGTGCCGCCGAGGCGGGCCGGGCCGGGGGCGCGGGGGTGGGCCCTCTCCGGAGGGAGGGGGAGAGCCCGCGGCCTACGGGGAGGGACCCGGGGAAGGGCCTGGGGGGGGGTGGACAGGGACCCAGGTCTGGGGGAAGCGCGGCTGAGGGGACGGAGAGGGGCCCCCTCCGAGGAAGGGGACGGTGAGGGGTCGGTTGGCCTTACCGGGGAGGCGGTGGGGTGTCTCTGCCCCGCGGAGGGGATGTGGGGTCTGCCAGGAGAAGAGCCTGAGGTGATGGAGCGCGGCCACTGATGATGAAAGGGACAGTGATGGATCCTCTCTGCCTTCTGAGGGGATGGTGAGGGGCTGCCTCTGAAGAAGGTGGCCGTGAGGCCCACCCCAGACCACAGAGAGCCTGAGGGGATGGTGAGGGGCCCCTCACTTGAAGTTAGTCGTAGTGGGTGAGGGCCGTCTGTGCAACAACGGAGTGACCCTCACCTGATGGAGGGCCCGAGAAGTTGGTGAGGGATGTCTTCCTGGTGACCGGCCGCTGGATCCACCTCAACATCAACAAGAGATGTCCTCGCCTTCCCAGCCTTGCTGCCATCCATGACTGAGAAAGGGGGGTGATGTTCATCAGGGCTGGGGCTGCTTCATCTGAGGGAACCATGTCTGGGGAAAAAGTGTGAGCCTCTCGCCGCAGGGTGCTCCTCCAGTGGGCCATGGTCATCGTCACCCATGCCAGCCTGCCTGCCAACGGACTCATGGTCAACTGGTGGCCCTTAAGCGGTTTCTGAAAGATAAATAAGAGAAGAAAGACTTGTCAGTGGGATGAAACTTGCTACACCCAGGGCTTGTCTTGCCTGAAAAAAAGCTAGTGGAAAAAGTTGGAAAACCACTTTGCCAGAGTGCTTATTTTAGAGTTGGCAAGGTGGGTGTTGTTCCTGGGTCTCTCTGGGGCAACAGGAAAAAAAAAAAAGGGAGTCAGGCCAAGCTAGGGTGATGTTGTTCACCAAGACCCCCAGAGAGCAGGCACCCAAGGTGTCTTTGCGTTGTTGAGGGAGGGGAGAGGGTTGCAGACGGGTTTTCTGTGCTAGCAGGGAGGTGGTTGTCTGTGCTACATTTCAGATAAACTCTCTTGCAGAAAGAAGAATGAGGTTGACATTAATCTATTTCTTCCTCTGAAAGCATTGTTTATGGTTGCTGAGCACTGTCCAACGACTGCAGTGCTTCACCCCAGGGGTGGCAGCGTGGTAGCAGTGGGTGATGTAATTCCTGCGTGCACCTCTTCAGGTTGTACCAGACGGACTGTGTCCAATGCCATCTCTGAGTGAAAACATGCTGTAAAGGCAGAAGATTGGGTTTTTATGATGTTCCACTAAGCTCTGTGTTGCTTGTGTAAAACATGTGTTTTCATCTGGCAGGTTTTGGCTTTGGTACCATTTACCTCCAGCACCAGGGTCCTGGAGTTATCCCTCTCGCTAGCCTGTTGCTCAGGGGAGGATTTTTTAATTACTCATTTCCTCTGCAGGCTGCTTCATTTTGTACTTAGTAATTTAGTTATAACTCCCTAGCTGCTCACTCTCTGAGGCGTTTTGGTTTGCAACGTGTTTCTTTTTCTAAAAGAGATGTCCTTTAGTGTCTGTTTAATTAATTGCTGTGTAAAACAAGACCACCCGAAGCCGGGGGCATTTCTGTTGTTACTCCCTTTGGCTCTGGGTTTATCTGTGTGAGCTTTCTTTCCTGTCACTCAGTTTCTTCAGTTGGTTAATCATAAGCATTGTGCTCAGAAACTGTCTGAAGCGACGACTCTGTTGCTTATTTCTCTCCTCTTCCATTTGCTCATGACTCCTGAAGTGGGAATGGCAATTTTCCTCCTTCATCGCTTTAAAGGGAGGAGTTTAATGTACAGTTATGAACTCTGCACAATAAGGCATTCTCTTTGCTTGGCTGCTGTTTGAGCTACATAAATAAACTTGATGCTCCTCCCCTTCTGACTTCCAGAGTAGGAAAATGTTTTGCATCAATCTAAAGGAATTTGCCCCCTTGCTTCCAACAGGTAAACAACTCCTTGCCTTCTACTGGTCAGTCAAGGGTTTGTAACCCCTACGAGGAAAAAAAAAATCCTGTTGAAGCTTGGTATACACAGTCTTGATGGAGGCTGTAAGCTGTTCTCCTGACCACTGTTATTTCCACTCTTGAAAAATCAGACAATTCCTTCCCAGTCACCTGACCTCCACATACATGTACATATATATACAAATCTCTCCCCTGCCCCAGTAAACAAAGCAAAGCACTGGTTGGTGCCATTTCCTTTCTGTAGAGAAGCCTGTAAGTTTACTGCTAGCCAACTGATATTGTCAAAAGTAGGACAAAGTGAAGATAGGTTGTAGTAACATACTTTACAGTACAAACCACAATTTTTTCTGAACATTATTTTATGATAACACTGCTGCCCTGTTTGATACAGCCATACCTTTTCCATGTACCAGAAGAATGTACAGCTTATGTTAAATTTCAGGAATTAATGGCCACTCCATTCAGTGATTTAGATGGGAGGTTTTTGTGATGTGGAGAGCTCTTTCAGGTAATCTTCTAAGACCAATTGTCTGAATAGTTGTCCCCCTCTTTTTGTTACCTCCACCTGTAAAGGAGAGCAGAAATATATGAAATCCTGCTTCTTTTGGACCAATGCAAGCACTGCTGCTGTTATTACAAGCAAAGGAGATGCTTGTGCATCATGAGATCATGAATGGAAGCGGAGGGTTCCAGGAAAAAAAGTGTGCGTCGGTTGTAATTAATACTATTTGTTAAAAAATAGATCCTGGACTCAGATTCTATTTCTGAGGTTTCTTTTCACTTCACTTTTGCTGTGTGAAATTCCTGTGTAAGCCCTCTTCTAAGTTTAGAAGTAGTTATTCCTAAAATTTATGGAAGATTTTGTCAGAAGGGGTGGTGAAGGGAGGAAAGAGGATGAGTTTCTTCAGCCTTTCTTGAAGACTGTATGTACCTTTTAACACAATAGACCTATTCAAAATCAGGGGCCTTTGAAAAGTTGTGTATCACTTCCTCCATCGACCTCATGTGTATGTATAGTCTGCTGCAACCAGAATTTCACTGCTGGGTGGGAGTGTAGTATTTCACAGCTCTGTTGTTATGGAAGATTATATTTCATAGATGTGATGACATAACTATAAAGTATAATTAAACAATAATGACCAACAAGGAGGGCATTTCCTAGAGGTTAATGACAGTTAAAAACAAAGTAGGTGGAGGAGTGGAAGGCCTGAAGTACAGCTGAAGACCCCTTAATCTCTTTAATTAACATGAGTGCCACACTACAGCAGGTATTGTAAATATAAGTCAAGATGAAATTATGAAAGTACTTACATCAAAAATAAGTGCTTTAAATCAAATGAAGGATTGCCAGAAACTCTTTTTTACTTTGCTAGTGGAAGCTGGAAATCTGTAGATAAATATCTGGGTATTCTTCTCTTAAAAAGAGAAACTCGAGGGCATCAGTAGGATATGCACTAGATTTTTAAAACTATTGATACAAGCAAAAATATAATATACAAGAGGAACCATTAGCTGGAGTAATTTTTCCTGCTGAAGACAGTGTTTTTTTCAAATGAACAGTACAATCAGGTGTTTACAGGATCAGCTTAATGCTGGCTTATTAAGTTTATCTGCAGAATTGACTCAATTTTTAAAAGAAGTGACAATGTCAAGTTAGAGACTTCCAGTAACTAAAATAAGCATTTATTTTGATCCATCTGTCCATCCTGTCCCTGCTCCCCAAAGCCAAAGGAACTGAAACAGTTGAAAGTTAACCTTGCTAACCCAAATTTTAAGCATCTATGGGTCAGATTTTCAAATGCTCCCAAGTACAAAAGTTCTATTGACTAAAAACTGCAAACGTTGATTGAGCATAGCCTGATAATAGGACTTGAGCTTTCTGAACTGACAGCTCAACAGATTGGAAAATGGTGCTTGTCTGGGAATATTTCATGGGATATTTGCTTCTCGCTTCTGTGACCATTTTTTTGCAGTAGCTCTATTAATGGAGCCTGAAGTTTGTGGGTTTTGGTGTAAGTGGATACTTTCAGTATGAGATTTCTAAGTGCAGAAATAAGTTTTTAAACCTGTAGTTCTTTTAGCATTTAGGTAATGGAAGAAATAAATGGAGGAGTTTTTTTCTTTGAGTGTAAAATACAAGGGAAGAAAATATATGGTTGCATGAAATCAAATTAAAACATGGAGTTAAAATAAAAAAAAATTATGTATATAAGCCTCATTATAAATTGAAAATTTACGGTGCATGTGAAATTTTAAGAGCATGCTGCTTTATTTATAATGGGATTTTCCTAGGTACTTAATGAACTTGACAAAAATAAATAGTCCAATGCTCTGAGCACATATCAAGGTGCTGATCCCACAAAATCTTATGCGTGCATTAATCTTTCTGCATTGTGAGTACACAAGTTCACTTCAGCATTTGTGTAGTACGGGTGTCTGCAATTAGGGTTTAGTAACCAAGCAGAAAATTGTGAGCTAGAGCCAGCAGTCTTTTCCCTTTCTAAGGGAGACTGTACAGTCTGCTAGCCAGTAACTCAAGGCACTAATTAAAGTTAAAAAAAATTGACGTTATCCAGAAAAATGGAGATATATATATATATACACACAAAACATATCGCAGTGTTTTGATGACCTCAGTAACCACTCGGCCTCCATTCTTGTGGTTAGAATGATGCCATCATGGTGTGTGTGAGTGTGGGTATCCTTACATCTTGGAGGGAACTGCAAGCTGTATGTACACATGCTAAGGAAATGCTTTGACCACATAACCACGACTACAGAGCTAGTTGTTTCTGAAGTACTGCATATGTATTTTGATTCTGATAACTCCTCGAGTAGTTTTACTTCTTAAATATTGCATAATCTCCATTTGCAACCATTTTTTTGTTCTTTGAACAAAACAAATAAACAATGCTTTGCTACAACTTGTGGATGGTGG